GAGCCCGGCTGAATGGAAGCCCTTTTCTGGGGTTTTGTTTAGCTTCTTATTTGCAACATAGTATATAGTTGCTTAGAGTTGCAACTGAGAGGCTGGCAAGTTAGGTGGGGAACGTTGGAGTCCGCAGTCACTGAAGCAAGCAAGCCTCCCTGTTTGCTTCAGTGCCTGGCTGCCGGCCGCCATCTTGGCTGACAGTTAATTTGCATATACTCACTGATTAGCCAATGAAAAGGGTAGCGGTCGTACGCCAATTACCATGTTTCTCTTTTATTAGTGTAGATACTGTAATCAAAGTTATGGTAATGTGGTGTTATTAAGTAAAATAACTCAAGCACTGTCATTTACCTTTCTATACTATGGTTTATTACAAATGTCTCCTACCTAGTGTCAGTAAAGTTAAAGTTTGTTCCTTATTCTTTTTGTTACTTTGGGTGATTATTTACAAAAGTATAAACATGTCTTTCCCTTATCATCTTAAAATTAGAAGTCCTCAACCTCTATTTATCAATCTATACTAATAAAAGCCTTGGTGGCCCTTGTGCCCTTGCGTGATGCCCTCACGTCGTCACAAGATGGCCACCATAAGATGACCAGCAGGGGAGGGCAGTTGTGGATGACCAGGCCAGCAGGGGAGGGCAGTTGTGGGTGACTGGGCTGGCAGGGGAGGGCAGTTGGGGGTGACTGGGCCTGCAGGGGAGGGCAGTTGGGGGCGACCGGGCCTGCAGGAGAGGGCAGTTGGGGGTGATTGGGCCAGCAAGGGAGGGCAGTTGGGGGCAGTTAGGGAGCGATCGGGCAGGCAGGCAAGTAGTTAGGAGCCAGCAGTCCCAGATTGTGAGAGGGATGTCCGACTGCCGGTTTAGGTCCGATTCTGCAGGCCTAAACCAGCAGTCGGACATCCCCCAAGGGTCCCAGATTGGAGAGGGTGCAGGCTGGGCTGAGGGACACCCCCCCCAGTTCACGAATTTCATGCACCAGGCCTCTAGTCCATTTATAATAGTCTGGGTCTTGACCCTTATCTGTGTTAAAGGGGGAAATTAACATCCCAAACTTCCCCCCTACTTCTTTCTCCTGCCCTCACTTTCAAATTCTATCCTCCATATCACCCATTAAAAAATTTTAAGGTTTTCCCTAACCCGTTTGGCTCAGTGGATAGAGCGTCGGCCTGCGGACTGAAGGGTCCCAGGTTTGATTCCGGTCAAGGGCATGTACCTTGGTTGCAAGCACATTCCCAGTAGGGGGCGTGCAGGAGGCAGCTGATCGATGTTTCTCTCTCATCGATGTTTCTAACTCTCTATCCCTCTCCCTTCCTCTCTGTAAAAAGTCAATAAAATATATTAAAAAATTAAAAAAAAAATTTTAAGGTTTAGATCCAAATATACTTGTCTATAGGTTGATTCTGAAAACTGGAAATAGACACATCATTCACAGTACATGAATATATGAACACTGTTCACTGAAGAATCAAGTGATGCAGTTTGATTCTTTAAAAAATAGAGAGAGAAATATAACTCCTTTACTAGTACACTTGGGCAACCTTAGGGAGAATGTAAATGGTTGATTTCTCTTACACTCCATGAGCTGCTCAAAACACCACCACATTTCAGTGCGATCCATATTCAGACCAACATTCTCATAACCTTGATGTTTTTCTTCGAGCTTCTACAGTTGAGTTTACTGGAGGAGGAGAGGCAGCTTCTAGTCTTCTAAGGAAATGTCTGCTAGAATATGGGAATTAAAATAACAACCTTAAAAACTTTTGCTAATTTCCCCTGTTTTCCTGTCTTGCTTCTCACTGCAGTTAGATGACTCTTTGGGTAGGAATTTGACCTTATTTCTTCAACCTACTGCCCAAATATGTTTTTAACTCTGGGAAATGTAAACTGTCAAGTTCAGATCTCCTTAAAACTTGAGCAAGAGTGCTGTAAGGCAGAATGTCTTTGAGAATCAATCTCTGTTTTTATATTAAGCATACAAAGTATTAAAAAACATAAAAGTGACAGTGTTGGGTCCAGCTCCAAGAATGTATTTTTCTCTGAGCATATCTCTTATACATATATCATAGAAATTACCCTAAGACATTGCCAGTAACTTCTTGATGTCAACTCAATTTGTACTAATCATTAGAGAAGTTTAACCAGAAGGCTTTAAGTAACACTTCAATTGTTATTATGATTAAGGAGAGAAGACATCTAGCCTACTATATAACATACACCGTCCTGGCTTTTATATGTGAGTATTATTTACTATAACATATATTACTACATGTTATTTTTATATTAATTACTAGAGGCCTGGTACACGAAATTCGTGCATGGGGGGGGTGGTTCTCCTCAGACAAGCCTGCACCCTCTCCAATCCGGGACCCCTCAGAAGATGTCCGACTGCCGGTTTAGGCCCAATCCTCAAGATCGGACCTAAACCGGCAGTCGGACATCTCTCTCACCATCCGGGACTGCTGGCTCCTAACCACTTGCCTGCCTGCCTGATGGCCCCTAACCACTTCTGCCTGCTAGCCTGATCATCCCCTAACTGCTCCCCTGCTGGCCCGATCACCCCCAATTGCCCTTCCCTGCAGGCCTGGTTGCCCCCAAATGACCTCCCCTGCAGGCCTGGTTGCCCCCAATTGCCCTCCCCTCCAGGCCTGGTCGCCCCCAAATGCCCTCCCCTGCTGGCCATCTTGTGATAATGTGGGGGCTGCCATGTTGTGATGACGTGGAAGTAGCCATCTTGTAGTGGCCATCTTGTGATGACATGGGGAAGGACATCTTGTGACAAATGTGGGGGCGGCCATCTTGTGATATGAGGGCGTGAGGGTCAATTTGCATATTACATCTTTATTATATAGGATTATATTATTTTATATTTATTTAAAGAATTGATCCACATTTCCTGGGAGCTGAGATTGACTTCTCTGCTTCCTTCTGTTAGAGATCAGGGCATCTGACCCTACTCCTGGTATGAGATACATTATGTAACCCTGATGCCCATCACGTTACCCCACAGTCTCCCCTACTGTTAGTATTGATCCTATCTTTCATCTTCTCTAAGCTCAGGTTCTTAGACCCTGAAATCACCTTAATTCATCTCTAAAAACTTCCAGTGCTGCTCTTGGATCTGGTAATAGATAATGTCAGCTTTCCTCCTGAATAAGTGACTGTTTCCTAAGGAGCACAAATTCCCTGACTTGAATCCCAGAATATCAGAGCCAGAAGGGACCTCAAGGTCACCTAGACCAATGGTTCCAGCCTTGACATTTGGACTCACCAAGAATCTGGAGTTATTGCAAGTCTTGGAACCCATACATACTTATAGGGGTTTGTTTGTTTTCTTTCACTGGGCCACAAAACTGACACCATTATTATGTGGTATCCATAACTTTATAAAATTAAAAAGAGTTTTCATACTCTGAAAATATGAGAACCACTGATTCACATAAGCTTCCTCATTTTACAAATGGGGAGAAAGCCCAGAAAATGGCTTGATTTGTTCAAGGTCACAGAGTAAATTAGGATCATGTTGGGATCCAGGAGTAATCTTTGGATTCTCAAGCATCAACCTATTCCTCTTTCCAGTATCCCAACCTCCCAAATATCATAATTCTCACCATTACATAGCAGCTCCCACAGACACTAGTGCTGAGGGGACTGAGGGTTCCTACCTAGCTGGATTGTGCAGAAGTGACTTCTCCCTCCACAGCAAATGCGAACTTTTTTGAAAAGTATTGCCAGGATAAAATAAACAAATATCCTCAGAGAGAGCACTAGTAATTTAAAAAATTTGTCCCATCATTTTTCAGAGATCTTATCTTGCCCCTGGTCCCCACCCTGGGTGAGTGAGAAGTCTACAGCCCAGAAGGCAGCTGATTAAATCCAGGGGAGGGACCCACCTTTCTGGTCATCCATGGCTCTAAAAGAGAGAGTCAGAACCAGATTTCTTCCTCAGGGATTCTGAAATTAGAACTCTGAGAGACCGAGTCGGCTGGAAAAGGAGGTTGGGCAGAAAGGTGATGATGAAATATTGGGGCTGTTGGGCATTTTGAACCACAAACTCACAGAGAAAGAGAATGAGATGGGGATGGAGGTGGGAGAGAGATAGCAAGTCTGTATATACACACGAGGGGCCACACAGCTAGTGAAAGGGAGACAGAGAAAGAGAAGGAGAGAGGAAGACACAGAGAGAGCATCTTAGATTCCATCTTGCTAGTTCCTAGTTCCTGTCGCAGGAGATTCAACTTCCCTAGGATTCCAGAAGCTCTTTGGATCTTAAAATGAGTTCTTTATACTTAAGCTGATTTGAGTGGGATTTGCAGTCAAAATCTGCGGCCATCTTTGGGGGAATCAATTCAGATCTTATGAATAAATACCTCTGAGCACTCAAAGCCTGAGATATGGTGGCTACCCAAGACTGCCTCGCCGCTGAGGCTGTCTCATCAGAAAAATGAAGAACAAGGGCACTTGAGCTGCAGCCAGCACCAGCCCACACACTTCAGCACTGACCATGGACACACATTGGTCAGTGAAATCTTCTATTACAAGAGCCTCAGGACACAGCCTACCCTGCAATACACAGCCCATAGAGACCTCATGTTAATCCCAGCTGTTTCTAGATTTCATTCCTCTTCAGAAGAAGCCTCTAAGTACTTGAGAATAGGAAAGAAGGTTCTATATAATTACTCTAGCATCCTTCATTTCAGTTAAAAAAAAATAAAGACTTTTATTTTGAGGTTTCTGTTCTATAAGGCACTTGATATAAAACATCTAGTTCTGAGGCAATTTAGAAAAAAATAAAAGTGTGCCCTGTGGTGTTGAAATGTATTTATCTTTTCCTGTTCTCAAGGGCAAGAAATAAAAATAATAGTAAATAATAATAGGTTTCCAGTGTGGTGACAGAAAAAGGGTATCAGCAAAATCCCATGGTGGAAATAAAGTAGAAAACAAGGCAGAGCAAGATTACAGTGGGAGAAAGACGTGGAACACAGAGAGAAAGCCGGAAAGGAAAACAAGGGATTGTTGATGATAGCCAAGGTTCTCAAAGCACGGAGTTCTTTCTGATTCACCTACATGAGTAATGGTAACAGACAAAAAAACAACAAACTAAAACAAGGCATAAACAACGTGGCGCTAGGATTGCACATCTCAGGGGTGCAACATTGTTAGAATCGGAAAAGGAGATTTGGGGGAAAATAAAAACGTAAAATTGTGTGAAGTGAATTGTTGATAAGAAAAAAAGGGATATGAGAAACACTGAAAAATCTTTAAGTCACTGTCTCTAGGACACATTCTAAGTTGTTAAAAGAGTTGGTTAATGGGTTTAGATAAATTCTGACCATTATATTAAAGAGCACTGTAGATGCAATATTTCAGAAAGTTGTCAATATAAATACATTTCTTCAAGATATTAGAGGAAAAAATAAGAAAAAAAATGAGCTTACATTGACCTAATTTTCTCTTCAGTCTCCTTCCTAAAGAAAGGGCTCCCTGGAGGGCACTATGCTAAGTGAAAAGCATCATTTTTATGACGACTGCTTTAAAACCGTTGTCAGGTAAACCACAGCTCTTCATCTTGGTGTTGGTATCTATTGATTGTTTCATTTAGTTTGAGATCTTCCTTGTTCCTTGGTACGATGAGAGATTTTTTTTTTCTTTTTAATCCTGGACATTTGAAATATTATGTTATGAGACTCTAGATCTTATTTAAACCTTCATTATTTTATTTTTTTCTGGCTTCTTCTTACACTAATTTGGCAGGGAGAAGCGAGGGGCCTACCTCATCACTGTCATGCGAGGGTGGAAGGCCAGGTTTCTCACTTGGCCTTTGTTGACACCCAAGGTGGGGGCTCTCTTTACTGCTGGGTGTGGGTGAGAGAGTTGGGCTCCTCACTAGGCCTCCACGGACATCTCCCTGGCTGGGCAGCACCAGGTACCCCTCAGACAACCTCCACTGACATCATGGTAGGGATGTGGGGGACCTCACTACTGTCGGGCAGTGGTGAATATCCTGACTCTCCATTAGGCGTCCTCTGATACATCCCAGTCAGGGTGGGGAGGAGCCTCACTATTGCCAGGTATGGATGGAAGTCCAGGCTCCCCAGCAGTGCTCGGAGGAGGCCTCATCACGTGTGGGAGAGAAAAGTCCTGGCTCTCTAGTAAGTCTTTTCGGACAGCACTGTGGCAGAGAGGTTTGGGCTCCTTTTAAAGCCCCACAAGGGTGGAAATCTGGACTCCCCAATCAGCCTTCTGGGGGTGGGCATAGTCACTGGTTTTCCATTATTATCTAAAAGGTTTCTGTCTTGCTGGGCTGTTCCTTTAGTTGGGATTTTTGGTCTATACTCATTGGCATTCAGGTTGCCAGACTCTTTAGTTCCATGTCTGGGATGTATAAGGCAAAATAAAAGAAAACCCAGGGAACTCACACCATGTTGCTCCTTGGATTCTCAGATCTCTAGTCTGTGTGCCTTCTTCTCTCCACCTTGCAGAGTCTTCCCGTGTGTGTTTTATGAAGAATGTGCAGGGCTTTCAGTTGTACTTAGTGGCAGGACTAGGGAAAGGTACATCTATTCCACCTTCCCTTATGTGGAAGTCTTTACACATCACTTTATTGCTGATAATAACAGTACCTGCCTACAGATACCTCAGAGGGTATTGTGAGGATTAAGTGAGTTGATTGGACCTTTGAAACAATATCTGGCACATAGTGAGCCTATGTAAGTGTTAGAGCATTTTGTTATTGCTAAGGGAACAGACTCTGGGACCAGACTTCCAGGGTTTAAATCCCAGCTCTTACACTTAATAAGTGTGTTAATCTTTGGTAAATTATTCTATCTCTCTATGCCCAAACTTCTCCACTGTAAATGGCAATAATAATAGTTTCTTTTTCACAAGGTTATTGTGAGAATAGTTAATATATCTAAAGCACTTAGACAATTGCCTGGCACAAGGTAAACTCTAAGTATTTGATATGACTATTTTAAGCTTAAGTACTTTATTTTCTCCTCAAAACACCCATGAAATAAGTAGTAAAGCATAATTATCCATTTATAAATAAACAGAGATTCTGAGATATGCAGGGAGCTGACCAAGGTCACAGAGCCAGTAACTGGCAGGGCCAGCCTCAGCCAGGTCCAGGACTCATACCATCATATGAGCATTGAGCTGAGGTTTGGTTAGGAGTGCAAGGTGAAGACCAGGATTCATGCTTAGAGAACATGGCAGGCAGACAGGTACAGAAAT